GCAGTAATGATGCTTGTCTCTTTTGTAAAAGACTAGTAAGTTAATGTTTAAAATAAGTGTATGTAAATTTTAGAAAAAATCATTTATAAATTTGAAAGGCATTCATAAATTCGTTGAAATTGACTTATTTTTCGTCAATTTTCTCTATATATTTTTTATTCTTCAAATGAACATTTGAGAATTTGCATATTTTTGTACCAGGCATTTCCATGTACAAAAGTTTGTGGAAAAAGTTTTTATGCGGAATATATTTCTATTTATATATTAGTTTAGCCTAAAATATGATTTAGCGCACTCAAGTTTTGCCCCTAATCCATACTATGATTATAATAATTAAATATCACCAAAATATACAACATAACAATATCTACACTATTGCATTAAAAATGATTTTTCATGTTGACAACCACCATGCAGAATCCATTTTATAGCTTAAAATGTTAAATGCAATTTCATGTATCAACCTTCTTCGAAGGATTTGGTTTTGTTGTCATTGGAGCTTGATTGTAAGATTGCACAAAATGTAATTAGAACATTAGAAAATAATGTAGACATGGGCATAACCATAAAAGGAGAAAACCTCTTCAAACTTTTCAAAGTTTAACTAAAAAGAAGTTTAAATTGAATAAAACAGTATTTATAATATGAAGAAAAAAGAATTTTTAAAACAATTTTTGAAAAATATAATAAAAACAAAACAAATTAAATAAAAGAAAGTTACGAAATTAAATAAAGAATATATAAATTTTATTTAATTAAAATTGAAAAATTAAGTTTTATCATAAAGAGAAAAGAATTAAAATGAATTTCAATTTTTTTTTCATTGTGGGAGCAAAAACGACGTAGTGTTGTCTTCAATCATTTTTCCATTTTCACACGCCACTTCATTGTAACCATCACATCCACTGTAACATTTTTCTTTTTTTTCACGCACCACTTCACTTCATTCAATCCAATACTAATAAAGAAAAGAAACTAAATGATTTAACAAGTTAAAGAAAAAAAGAATTGCAGGCAAAAATAGGGAAAAAAAACAAAAAAAGAAGAAGATTATTATGAAGTTTTTTAATTAAATTGAAATAATTAAAAATAAAAATAAAATATTATTTTGTTATTAAAATTGAAAAAAATACGTTTTATCACAAAATGAAAAAAATTAAAAAGAATTTTAAATCAAAAGAAAAATTATTTAAAATATAAAAAAATTAAAAAAATTTCAAAAATATATATAATAAAAACAAAACAAAAGAAAGTTACAAAAATTAAATAAAGAATATATAAATATTATTTAATTAAAATTAAAAAATTAAGTTTTATTATGAAGAGAAAATAATTAAAAAGAATTTTAAATCGAAAAAAAAATTATTTAGGATATGAACAAAAAACAATTCTCACGGGTTTAAACCTCGATGCTGGATGGAGAGAGAAATATAATTTTTCTTTTTTCGTTTTTTCCTCATTTATTTTTTCTTTTTTTAATTTGTTTTGTTTATGTTATAAATATTTTTTTTATTTAAAATTATTCTCTTCATAATAAAATTTATTTTTTCAATTTTAATTAAATAATGTCTCCATCCAGGATGGAGAAACTCCATTTTCAGTGATTGCATTTTAATAAATTTTATGGACTCTCCTCGCAGCATGAGACTAAAGCAAATTAAACCATTTAAAAATTGGTAAATGAAAATTACAATTAATTCATTTAAAATTGGAAAAAAGAGAAAAAAATTCTCCAAAAATCGTGCATGCTCCATGCTGCACGAATTGTACTCTCCTGCAGTACGAAGAGTGCCAGTGCTCCGCGCTGCACGGAGAGTGCTACGTGCACTCTTTGTGCACTCTTCATGCATGCACTTTCCATGCAACACAGAGAAACGTGCTACTCTAAATCCTACAAAAGGTCATCGTACATAAATAAGATTATAAACTATTTTTTTTCTTTCTTAACATTGTTCATCCAATCTACTCGATAAAACATACACAAATCCACAAAATTTTCACTATTTCTAGACCTAAGAAGACATGTTTTCCATGAATATGTAAGAAAAAAGAGATCTTAAAATTTAAAATGAAGTAGGAGAAGAGCAAAGATTTGGATATTGGACTAATTACTCCAGAAACGAATTTTACTCCAAACGAGTCTCCATCTTTGAATCCATCCAAAACCAGCAGAGTCTACTTATTTATCCTGATCTCGTCCAATAATCACTATTCAATCTTCAGGATTGGCCTTCTGTATCCATTTAATACGAAAGCAAGTGTGAAATTTACAAATATTTCTCACCGTTAGCTGAATAATTTCTATGGCATAGTTCTTACAAAATTATCTCAGAAGCTAGAATTCACCATCATCTCGAAGCTATCTTTGAACAAAACTAATGTCATGCCCATTTATACAAACCTAAAACGAAACACGATAATCAAATGAAAATTTAAGAAAAATGATGATTAATTCAAAATCATTTAAAGATGAATCACACACAGCACACACTTAGTGATTGATAAACAACATTTATGTATTATTTTACAAATTTTTGGAGAACCATAACACTCGGCACTCAACTTACAGAAGAGCCTCCGAAAAGAAAATTCTCCTTCAAGGTTTCGACAGTTTTGTTGATGGTTTCTTTAAGAGGCCTTCTCGTTTGGAATGACGAATTTGTTGAAGAGGCATGGTCGGTAGTATAGTTAAATGGAGAAATGATGTTTCTTTGTTAGATTGACGTGAATTGAGAAAAGGTGAAGGCATGGCTATGCTGAAAAATCGTCATTTCACTAATTTTGTGTTAAAAAAATGAAAACAAAAGAGGAAAATCCTTACAAGATGACGTATATTTTTTACAAGTGTTTAGCCCATTTATTCGCTCTTTTATATATGTAGGATGGGGCCTGAATTCAATTTATTTGTTGCACTACATAGATGACGTCATGACAAGGATGAAATAGAGTCCATAAAATAACTATTAAAATGAAAGAACGAGAGCAAATTAGAAGGATTTTAGGTATGGACATAAAGAGACATAGAAGTGAAAATATTTTATTTTTGAAAAAGATACAAGATACATTCTCTATGTCAGATGCTAAATCTGTTTCAGTGCCTTTAGAGAGTCGTCATAAGTTGCCTTCTAATCAATTTCCTCAATTACAAGAGGAATTTGAGGAGATGAACAAAATCCCTTATGCTAATGCAGCGGGATTTGTCATGCATCTAATGATCTGTTGAAGACCAGATTTAGTTTACGATAAAGTGTCTTAAGTCGATTTATGAAAAAATTAAAGAAAATTGCATTGGGATTCTATGAAATTGTCCTTCAATATTTAAAGAGGATATCTGATTTAGGGTTGATGTTTAGACAAGATAGTGGTGGCATTGAGTTAAAGCGGTATACAGATTCAAATTTGGCAGGTGAAATTGATAAAAGGTTGCATACAAATTCACCTTGTGAGGTGCATGTATGAGCCGGAAATATCAACTTCAAAAGTTGGTCACATGGTCCTCTATAGAGGCATAGCATATAGCTACTTGTGGTGGAGTTAAGAAGGGATTGTGGTCGAGAGGTTTGTTACAGGAACTAAGCTTTATAAAAAATGAAGTGTATATTTCTATTGATAATGAAAATTAGTAAAAACATCGTGTTTCATTATAGAACTAAACACGTAGATGTTTAAGTTTCATTTTATTAGAAACTCAGCTAAAAAAAGCTTAGTTAAACTTGTGAGGTGGATCGCTTAAATCCACTTGAGACGTAATTATTGGCCTTGTGTGCTTGACAAGAATTGTGCCAGTTTGGTATAATTTTGGACCATATATTAAATCCGGTCATCACTAAATTTAATCTTGTGGTCACTTCCTACATCTAATCATATCACTAGTCATTGATTTTAAATTTTGAATTCAAATGGTTTTGACTTTAAAATTCTGTGTATTCATTTGTTTCACTTAGACTTGACAAAAACAAAAGAGAGAGCATGGATAAGGAACCAAGTGGGTGAGGTTCATATCTTCGACGAAATTCTTGATGACATCTAGTAGATTCTTTTCTCAGTATATTCATTGACATTCTTGTCGACGAAGGTGTATGATCCAGCGTGACACAAATTTGGGCTCAACATTACAAAACATATTGATGGAGAGGTTGAAGACGATTCAAACTTTGAGAGTTTATATCCGCATTGTATTTGTAATANATTAGAAACTCAGCTAAAAAAAGCTTAGTTAAACTTGTGAGGTGGATCGCTTAAATCCACTTGAGACGTAATTATTGGCCTTGAGTGCTTGACAAGAATTGTGCCAGTTTGGTATAATTTTGGACCATATATTAAATCCGGTCATGACTAAATTTAATCTTGTGGTCACTTCCTACATCTAATCATATCACTAGTCATTGATTTTAAATTTTGAATTCAAATGGTTTTGACTTTATAATTCTGTGTATTCATTTGTTTCACTTAGACTTGACAAAAACAAAAGAGAGAGCATGGATAAGGAACCAAGTGGGTGAGGTTCATATCTTCGACGAAATTCTTGATGGTATCTAGTAGATTCTTTTCTCAGTATATTCATTGACATTCTTGTCGACGAAGGTGTATGATCCAGCGTGACACAAATTTGAGCTCAACATTACAAAACATATTGATGGAGAGGTTGAAGACGATTCAAACTTTGAGAGTTTATATCCGCATTGTATTTGTAATAATTTTTGTATACAATATAACTGGTTAAAATTCCAGCCCAACATAACCCTGTATACATGAGTACAAAAATACTTGCTTTAGACAAATGCAGCCAACCATCATCTACGACAAATTGCACATTCTACTGTCAATATAATGTTTGCAACACACTATGCCCATTCTAAATAAACAAGTCACTATATCGCTATATCAATTCTACCAACGATAAAAAGGGTAAACTTTGCGTGGCAAGTTTCAGTAACCACTTCACTTAAAAAGTAAGTTTCACTTTTAAATTTACCCAAACACGCTTGGTACACGCTGTGTATAATATCAATAACATAAAAGAGCTTCTAAGAAGTTTATTTTATAGGATATGTTTAGCATACAAACTTGCAAATACTCCAGACCACAATTTGATTTGAGCAATGGAGAATCTAAAGCCCACACATTCCATTCCCAGAGACTAAACAATCATATTAAGCAACAGCAACAGCTTCTGTAGGCTTCGATTCTGGCTCAGCTGGTGCTTCTTCAGTCTTTGATTCTGGAGCTTCAGCAGGCTTCGTTTCTAGTGCAGCTGGTGTTTCAGCCGTCTTTGATTCTGGTGCAGCTGGTGCTTCTGCTGCTTCCCAGTAAGAAGATGCCTTCCCGGTTTTAGAAACGGTCTGCAGAACAGCTTCTGGCTGGACATTGCCCTTCACGGTAACTTTTTGCTGCTCGATATCAATGTCAAAAGATTCAACACCTGTATAACACCGTGTTAATGAGTCAATAAGAGTTACTTTCAAAATAAGTAACTTTATTAACTTAAATACAAGAAAAACGTAATATATCCAAACATGTCATTTGCCCCCTTTGTTTAGAAAACAGCTATTATCTACTCTAATTAAAAAAAAGGAAATGAGATTCAGCTCCTTCTGGTTTGGCAAAAATTCATATTTTAATAATTTTAATAAAAGTTGATGAAATGTGGTGAAAAATAGATAAAAAGTAGTGGATCCAATAAAATGTGTGCTTGAAAATGAGTTTAGATTAAAATGAATTTTAAAGCTCAGTTTAGTTGACGACAAAAAGAATTAACTATTTATTACCATAGTAATAATACAACACATCTCCCCAAATAGTCACTATCAAAAGCTAATCAAAACTTGTCAAGCCAACATCCGTTTTGTAAGACAGTTTGAATTACTATTTCTCTCTAAATATAATTTAAGAAAATATCTTTCGAATCCTGCAAAAAGGGATGAATGAAACTCGAGAGAGCTAAACATATTGCACCAATAAATTTACATGTATTGCCAAACGATCCAAAGAAGTACATAGAAAACCTACATTTTTCATAATTCACGCATTACAGTGGATATAGGAAAATGGGATTATTCAAGAGGTTGAGTTGTCAAGAGGTTACTTCGCCAGTCAGGTAATCAAAATTAGTCATCTTATTATGCTACCTGTTCATCAAGTTCTTATTTACATCATAGTCTTCAAAATGCTTTCGACTACAACCCCAGCTTCCATCTTACTTTGTGTATGACGACATATGATTTCATATAAAAGATTCACATGCACAGGCCCCATGTACATTCGAAACTAAGGCCTTATTTGGCTCGCATTTTCTAAAACTAATTTTTCCTCAAACTAATCTTCAACCACACATTTCATGGAACCCATAATTTTATCCGATTTTCAACCACACATTTCATTAACTTTTATTAAAATATACTAAAATCTAATTTTTACCCAAACAAAACATGGTCTAATTATCTATAAATGTAGGGATTGAATATTAAGAAAATTTAGCAGCAGGAATGCCATTATGCCAGGATCAACAAAAAAGCTGATATATTACGAGCAACAACAAAAATTTATGCGAAATTCATAGAGATACTCAAGCTTCATTGCTCCAATGTAATGGATGGTCTAAACCTAGTAAGGACGCACGTTATAGAAAAATCATTTTATCATAGTTGACGTCAAGAAAAAGCTGACAAACCTTCCATTTTTCCTAGAACCCTTTTCACGGCTCCAACGCAACCTTGGCATGACATGCCGACTTTCAAGACAACAGTCTGCAATCAAATGCACAAAAGTTTAACAAGGCCTTCCATTAGGAACAGAGTAAGCATTCATGTATTACTAAATACAATTCTTCCTGCAACAATTCGAGACTTCATAGGATTTGCACAGGCCACAATTCGTCACAGGTCATTTCATTCATGGCAATCAGACAATACTAAACTTAATACAGCAATTTTCAAAATTTTTTATTCGACATTCTGTTCACCCTTTATACAAATTCTCATACAGAACTATGAAGTAACAACTATTCGAATTGAACAAGAATTGATCATTACTCAGTCATGACAGAATGATAAACAACTATAAGTGACTAAGATATACAATTAAGTAATAGAAAGTAATACAAATTAGTTAGCCACAATTGCATTATTTTAGTAAACTACGATTGCTAAAATCCCCTTTTCCTGATCGTAAACAAAACTTGTGGGAAAAATTTACCTCCAAAAAAACAAAAAAAACCCTAGAATTGACTTCAATTTAAACACTGACAAATCAAGCAGTTTTAAACTATAAAAGCAAAAATCCCAAATTGTAGAATCGAGTAAATAGCCTCTGAACACTGACAAACCCTGCAATTTTTGCCAATTCTCGAAAAAGTCACACAATATATTAAAAAGGCACATATAATCAGCAGCATTTAGTATGTCATTTGATCACATCCAAATGACAGATCATATGAAAAGAACCCAAACGAAATCCAGATGGGTTATCCAAGAATCACACTATCACAGGAACTCAATAATAATAGCAATAACACGATGGAATTAATTTCCATAAAAAAAACAAAAAACAAAAAACAAAGGGACAGAATACCTGAGACATGCTGATTATTTAGACAACTGAAAACAAAAGAAAAGTTTGAAGATTTTTTCTGTGAGCACGCAGAATAGAGTGAAAATGTATTGATGCTAGATGATATCTGGATTTTTGAGAGCGATACTTATAGAAGGGAATGGTTTTTGTTCGTTCATTAAAAAAAAAAAAGAAGGTTAGTTTCGTGGTGTTTTTTTTTTTTTAAAAAAAAAAAAAAAAAAAAAAAAAGAAGGTTTGTTTCGTGGTGTCTGAGATTGACCCCACTCACAATCTTAGATTTCTCGACGTAAAGTATACGCATTCAATTTTTATCATAGTACTCGGAGTATTTCTATATTCTCAATTTTCTTAAAAACTTGATGTGATATAAAAATATTAGACATTTTCGCCTCCATTGACAAGTTCTATAAATTATTTATAAAAATTATATTTTAATTAAAACATCTCAATTCAATAAATTACGATTACTATTTACTTATTCATTATTCATACCTATCTATTTATAAATTAATTCGTTTATAAATTCTTGATAATAAATTAAATCCAAATCAAAGTCGTTGCTTTGCTAGGAAATGGGACGAAATCCAACCATGTGCAGACCTATTCACGATTACATGGCTAGTAGGAATTATTATCATAATAAGATAATTTAATGTATTGTGTTTATGACATGTTAGATCATAATTGCGTGGCTGGTAGAAGTTGTTATCTTACTAAGATAATTTAAGAATAATTTAATTTATGATATTCCCATAAAATTATTGTTTACATGTTAGACATCTTAAACATAATTGTAAGTAATTAAAATAGAGACATGTTCCTTTACAAAAAATTAATGATTTTCGTGTTCCTTTACAGATCATACTTGCAACTATACTCAAAGTTATAAGTTATTCGAACTTTTAAAACAATATTCTGTGCCGAACTTCGGTTCGGATAAGATTTATGACACGCGGACAAAAAATTAATGGTGTAAGTGCTCCTTTACAGGCGTTACTTGCAACTACACTCAAAGTTATAAGTTATTCGAACTTTTAAAACAATATATTATATGCCGAACTTTGATTCAGACAAAGATTATGTAGTGGCATATCAATGGTATCTGAGTAAAATAATACTTTAACGGGTGGTCCAAGTCATAACCAGTCCCATTTAATAGGATGCTACTTATTGCAGAACTTTTTGAGTAAATTATCTTAGACTAACTTCCATAAAAAAAAAAAAAAGCTCTTTTAGTGAGATAAAACATTTTTAAAAGATTATTTTTAACTACACATTCACATAATAAATTTTTTTTCCCCCCGAAATCGGCCGAAACCTTCAATTTCAATTAAAATGTCCATAACTAATTTTCAAAAGCATTATCAAAGCAAAGTAGTTGGCCTAATTAGGAATTTCTTAGAAGCCATTTAGTGTAGTTGGACCAAATAATTTCCTAGCTTTTTCATTCAGCAGTTGGAAGTGTACTTTTCCATATCTATTTGATAGTACACAAGGGTTACTGCAGTACACTATGGATCTAACACGAAGTACAAGCACGCCAATATTCTATTTCGTTTCTTTTCTTCTTCAAATATGCGAATTGCCAGTCATTATTAATATTATAATATTGTTTGAACTTAATTTATTAATTTAAAAATAAATTTATAATATCATAGAACTTTTTCACGTGTTACCGTAAATTGTGCAATACACGAGTTTAATTACCAGCATATTTTTTATTTGATCTGAACTTAATATTAGCATATCTACAATATATTAAAAGTGGGGATCGAGAAGAAAATTTTTATTACCAATTGTACCCTTACATATTTAGCTTTAAGTCCAATATACCCTCATTTATTCTCATATCTTTAATTTTTTATTTTACCCTTATATTTTTATGTTATGGTCAATAATACCCTTAAAATTAAATTATTTCAACTAAATTCAACTATTATTAAAATTAAAATTATTTATCTTTTAAATTAAGTCAATTAATTTTCACTAAACACTATTATTACTAATTATTAGTATATGATTAATAAAAACAAAATAAAAATTATTACAATACCACGTATATAATTAACATGAAATGGCATAGACTATTAAATCAATTAATGTTAATATATAAGATTTATAAAAACAATAAAATTATATATACGCTTAAACTTTTTTAAACGTAATATTACAGATTAAAAGAATAGTGCATTCCTAAAAGATTTCATTGAAAATAAAACATAATAGAAAAAAAATCCCGTTAACTAATGTTTACTTAATAAATATTAGATGAAAAGACATTTTATAATAATCCATCAACTCTTTAATCACCATTAATTTATATTAATTACATAAAATATGAAAAAAAAAATCATTTTTCAATAACCTAAGTGTGAATAGATGATAAACATTTGATTTCACATATTACTTTTACGTTTTTATATTCATGATGAACAATACCCTTAATACTCAATTTATAACTTCTAAATAAGATAATTAATAATAATTATTATTACTTTCAAAAATTAAGTCAATTAATTTCCACTAAATACAATTATTACTAATTATTAGTACACGATTAATAAAAATATTATCACGTACAATTAAAAGAAATTACAATAATATTATTTATATTTATAATTTACTTGAAATGACATATTTTATTAAGTCAATTAACAAAGTTTAAGGACAGACAATGCTTATTATTAAAATATACATTTTTGAACATGTATTATCTTATGGGCAACTATATTTCACACTTTTTGTGGAGTTTCAATGCAAACAAGAAAAGTATTGATAAAAGACTAAAAATAAAAGTTGTAGGACGTTGACAAAAAATATTATGTACAAAGAAATGTTATTCAAATAAAGTACATTTCAATTTATTTAACCTTTCACATTATATACATAATTTTATAAAAAGTGTTATTCATATATATATATTAAAAATTTTAATTTTACCTTTAGTAATATTAATTACATCAATTACTTCCAAAAACATTATTAGTACATAAAAAATATTAGGCATATCATTCGTCCGATACATAGAACGTACAACGCACGTGCTTACTATTAGTGTCTACAAAAGATGGATCGAATAAAAAAACATTAAAAAAAATTGAATGGGCTCTCTAAAGAAAATTCAATGGAACCTAAATTCACACCCAACGTAGAATTAGAAACTAATATGCGCACAAGTTGACATACAAGCTTAAATTTCATTTCATTATAAGATTCCATGCTTGATAGACGACATGTAATACTCCTTGATTTTTTCATTTATTTATGACAAAATGATAGGTTTTGCTACGTGTACATTGGAGTTTACAACCCCTTACAATAGGGGAACTTGTAATTTTTTTTATTGGATGCTAGTCTCCTATTGTGAAGGGGTTGCACACCAGGGTGTATAAATAGCAAAATTTCAAAATGATACACCCATCATCTATAACCAACATATTATTCCCCGATTGCCATATCATTTCGACAAACAAGGTAGTAAAATAAGGGAATTTTGCATAGATGTCCCTACGTTATCAATTGCAACAAAATTTCTCACTTTTCAAAGTGTGCAAAAAATGTCCTTTGTTGTGCGAAATTCTCAAATTATGCTTGTAAATACCTTTTTGGGTCTAATTAACGTCATGTTGACTTGTGAGAAAAATCTTTGAATATGTCTAATATATAATGGATAATAGTATTGTTAACCAAAAAATAAATGATAAAAAAATATTTCATAATCTCTTTGCTACGTAGATGAGATAAAATTTCTCTAAATAACACACGAGTTTTTTTACTTCTCCATTGTAGATACAAGAAGAAAGTAATTTTTATTTATCTTCCATTTTGAGAGATTAGTATTTATGAATTATTTAGTATTTTTTATCTTATAACTTATTAGTTTGAAATTGTTAAATACAATATGCTATATTAATGTACAAATTATAATGCATTCATTAGGATTGCTTTTGAAAATTTTTAGGAATAAAGATAGCAATATTCTTTATAAAATCTTGTTGGGAATTCCCTATTTGATAAAGCATTATGTAAATTCTTCGTGAAGATTTTGTCATTTAATAGTTGAGCATTGATTAACATACTTAATCCCATGAAGAATGTATTCCAATCACACCAATTACATGCTTCTCGTCAGGTGTTAACCGTAAATACCGACGGTTTCAACTATTGACCAAAATTGTGAAGATTGATAGTTCAAATGTCAAACTCAACACTTAGTAAATGTAGGGAAAGACATTTGACCTGTTAGTCTCGTCGATTTGCCGGATATGAGTAATAATCTAAAATTCATCGTGTATCATAGGGGACAGTTTTTCAACGTAGATGACGAATGAAATGGCGATTGAACAATACCACTTTAATTGTGGTTCCAAGTATTATCACCCTCATAGGACTTGTCGGACCATTGATGGACAAAGCATACGTTATTATTTGCAATATTTGAGGCAAGTAATTTGTGTTGATGATTGTTATTTGAAAGTTCATTAAGAGATCCAAGTAGCGCACCCATGCGATGTAAGAGATCCAAATCTGTGTCAAGCTTATGAATCAGAAAATGTACTTGGTACTGTTGCAACTTTTATTTGGGGTACAAAAACCATTCCCCTTTTTTTAAAACATAAGATTTCATTAATTGCAAATTGTTAAACTCTCAATCTTGACAGATATGTTTTGTATTTCTTGATAGTTCGATGGTAAGTAGGAAAACATACAAGATATCCAAGTATAACGATTGATCGGACGCACAATATTTCGATTATATATTAACACGTAATCTTCGATAAAAGTAGAAAATTTAAATACAGTTGATAACATGAAGCATTATTCGTTCACTGCAAGTGTGGTTAGGAAAAAAAATCTCCTGTGAAGACAAAAGGAATGAGAACCAAATTGAGAATGCATAAAATAGTGCTCCTTTTACCTATTTTGGAGAGAGCGCATAAAATAGTGTTCTCCTTTTACTATATATATATATATGGGTTAATTTCACAAACGGTCACTGAACTTACAGAAAAATTACAAAACGGTCACTGAAGTTTAAAACTTTCAGTAACGGTTACTTAAGTATTGAGACGCTTTCAAAAATGGTCACTGAAATTTAAAAAGTTTCTGAAACGTTCACTGTAGTTGAAAAATACTTTTTTAGTTTTTT